AAAAAAAAGGAAGGAAGGAAGAAATTACACTGTACAGTCAAGAAATCTATTGTATACTGGAACACTATAATTAATAGTATCTATTTTCAAATAGCCAAGAAAGAGCTAGCAAGATGGCTTGGCAGGTAAAGAAGCTTACAGCTAAGCCTAACAACCTGAGTTTGATTCCTAGGACCCCCTTGGTGGAGAGAACCAATTCCTGAAAGTTGTCCTCTGACCTTCACATGTGTAGTGCAGTAAATATGCGCACGCGCACACACATGCACACACAGACGCACACACTCGCCCTGAATAACTGTAAAAAATTTTAAATAGTTGACAGTAGATTTTAAGTGTTCTCACATAATTATGTGATATGAGTATTCATATGGTAATACATATATTAAAGTATATTGCAATCATTAAATATAAACATTATAATAAATAGCCAGGCATGGTGGCACATGCCTTCAAACCCAGCACTTGGGAGACAAGAGGCAGGCGGATCTCTGTGAGTTCAAGGCCAGCCTGGTCTACATAGTGAGTTCCAGGACAGCTGGGGCTACAGGGAGACTCTGTCTCAAAAAGACCCCCAAAAAAATGTTAAAATGGAAGAAAAAATTTAATTTCTACTATGTAAGACCCAAAACGGGAGACAATATTTGATTAAACAGAACAATGTCAACCACGTACAACAGCAAAGGAAAGAGCATTACTGAAATGCTTTAATGGAAGAATGTTTAAAGAAATATGTCATCATCTACAGATAAACTTCCTAACACCAGTGAGCCGCAGCCACACCCCGAGAGGCAATGATCACGGATCTGTCTCCCTCATCTCATCACTTCTCCAGCACCGAGCACATCCCAGGCACTCAGAGAGCACCCTGAATGATGCCTAGCTAACAGCAGTCGCTTGCACTCAGTTTACAAAATTTTTTCTTCCAAAGGCCTCAGGAAATTGACTTAGTGAGATGGGGAGAACTGTGTCTAATGAGCACTCCAAAATGACCTGAAAAACTTCGGTGCTGTATGTAGTTGATCTGGCTGACACCCTGAATGTGCCTGGCAAAGTTTTCAGCAGGGGCCAAGCAATCGTCAGCTAAGTTCTCATGTGAAATCCTAGAATGTGGAGTTTATGGAATTCAGAATGAGGAAGTTCTAACTACGTAAGAATCACACACTCACACACATGCACCCTAAGGAGCACACAAAGCACTTGGCCGTCCTGTTCTAACTTGGTATATTCCCGAGGACAAGGAGTTAGGCAGGACAGCACATGACATCCTGAGCACAGCTGTTCTTGCTCAAGGAAGCCCCCCCCTTTTTACAAACCCTTTAGGGAATGACAAGTGGGAAGAAATGTACCTCATCTCAACTGTAATGACTGTGAACACAGTGTCTGGGAGTCAGGAACCCCTGACAGTCTCAGAGATGGATGTAAGTGTTGCAGGGCAGTCTCATCACCTTCCAGGAAGAGGGGGCAGGGAAGAAAGCACAAGCCCCAATTTACCCAAAGACAAAGAGTGTCTTCTCTAAGCTTCCATACTGAGGGGTAGCTTTAAAATGCCAGATGACTTTGGACAGTCAGTGAGAGCCTTGCCAAGGCTGTGCCCCATGTAGTGATGAGAAAGAACACTAGTCCAAAAGCAACAAAGAAAAGGGCTCTGGGCGGTTCTCAACACCTCCCTCCTCTGCTCACATGACACTCAGAAGAAAAAAAGGACTTTGAAGTCAATTATAAGAAACTCAAGGCAGGCACAGTGGTGTACACTTGTGATCCCAGCACCCAGGAGAGGGCTGCTGGTTTGAAATCCAGCCTGGGCTACATGGAAGCTGCTACCCTAATAAAAAATAAAATAATTTTAAAAAGGGCTGGGGTCGCTGGGCATGGTGGCGCACGCCTGTAGTCCCAGCACTTGGGAGGCAGAGGCAGGCGGATCTCTATGAGGTCAAGGCCAGCCTGGTCTACATAGTGAGTTCCAGGACAGCTGGGGCTACAGGGAGAGCACAGGCTGCTCTTGAAGAGGACACAAATTAAGTTCCCAGAACCATCTGACACCCCCTTCTGGCCTCTGTGGGCATTGTATGCATGGATGCACTTGCACACAGGTAAGACATTCGTGCACATTAAAAAATAAAGAAAAACTTTTTAAGAGCTTTAAAAGCAAGTTTCTATCTGTAGTATGAAAATGGTCTTTCTAAACACAGCCATAAAATGCACAGCTTTTGGCATTACTCTGACCATGGTAGCAGAGCAGCACCTGAGCGCCTGCTTCCACAGAGCTCTGGCAGCTCTCAGCCCCTCGGCTGAAATGCGCACTGCCTGCATTCTGAAAACATGCTGACATGAGTGTCTGGTGGTTGTTCTCCTATAGAACCCAGTAGGTACGGTACTATCAGAAGGAGGAAAGGGCAGGCACTAACCAACAGCAAGATTTCATCAGACAAGCAATCAACAGAAATTGAGAAAAGCCAGGCTTCTTTTCTTTTTTTTTTCTTTCTTTTCAAATATTTCTTTCCCAGGATTGAAATTCAATTTTAATCCTGCCTATCTGAAACACAGCACCTGTTACCACGGTGCCAAATAAGTTTTAAGAGTCTGCGAAACTAGATCCTAAAAAACTTTTCCCTTAGTCTAAGGGGATATTTCCTTAAGATTACAAGAGAACCAGGAGGATGGCAAGGATGGGTAACAGGAGCACAGGGGACCTACAAGGTCACAGGTGTGTCAGGGGCACAGGAGGCCCTTGCTTGGGCTTTGGTCCACAGTCTCTTCATTTCTAGAATAACATTCAGTGAGTCTGTGCTGAAATCTCACGAAGAGAAATCTGGTTTGGTTTTTTTGTGGTTTTTTTTTTTTTTTTTTTTTTGGTCTTTTTAAGATAGGGTCTCCCCTGTAGTCACATCTGGCCTGGATTCCCTATGGAGACCAGATTGGCCTTGAACTCACAGAGATCCACCTGCTTCTGCCTCCCAAGTGCTGGGACTAAAGGTGTGCACCATCATGTCTGGCACACAGAGAAATTTGTAATCTAAAAGAGTAAGTATAAGAATTACTAGTAAGGGGGTAGAGAGATGGCTCAGTGGTTAAGAGCACAGACTGCTCTTATAGAGGACCAGGGTTCAGTTCTTAGCACCCACATGGTGGCTAACAACCATCTGTAACTTCAGTTCCAGGGGATCCGACACCCTCTCTGGTCTCTGTGGGCACTGCATACACAGGCATACTTATATATATGGACACAAAATATTCATTGACATAAAAATAGTAATAAAATAAAGTATTAAAAATTACTATTAGATCAATATCCTGAACTTTCCCTTTTGTTGCATAAGGGAACATTATTGCTACAACACAATCCTGAGATATAAATAAAACCCCAGTCAATTCAACAAGAGCACATTCATTTAACAGAATCTATTGAAGTATAACGAAGCTACTGGGAAGCCAGGACAGCAAGATGGCTCAATGAGTAAAGGTGCCTGCCACCAAGGCTAAGGACCTGAGTTCAATCCCCAGAACCCACATGATGGAAAGCACTGATTCCTGTAAGTTTCCCTTTGACTTCCACATGTACACTGTGCACACTAGTACTCAGACAAACACACACACAACAAATTAAATAAATAAATAATAAAGTAAAAAATAACTAAGTATAAAAATAAAATGAAACCAAACTACCAGACAGGCATCACAGAGCATACCTGTAATGCTACCAGTCAGGAAGCAGAAATAAGAGGATGAGGAGTTTGAGGCCAAGCTGGGCCACATGAGGACTCTATCTCCAAAAAAACAAATGAAGGGCTAGAGAGATGGCTCAGCAGTGAAGAGCACTGGTTGCTCTTCCAGAGGATCCAGGTTTGGTTCCCAGCATTCACATGGTGGTTAACAACTATCTGAAACTCCAGTGCCAGGGGATCTAACACACTCTTCTGGCCTGTGCAGGCATTGCACTACATGGGTACATACATAGATACAAGCAAAACACTCATACACCTAAAATAAAAGTAAACCAATTTTTTAAAAAGACTAAAATAAAATACAACCAAGACACCTTTCCATCACTCCAAAAACAGTTCCCAAGTCAAGGAAGGCTTGTGGTACAGTTTTTTAGGGGTATAAGTTGCAAGCAAGGCCCCTTCCAATCGGAGTGAAGTTCATTTCATGCTTGGCCGGCAAAGCTCTATGTGTCTCCCAGTGCAAAGATGCTAAGCCATCTGATTATACTCAATAACTTGCTGGGAAAATGATCTGGAAACAGGATCAAAGCATCATCCCAACAGTGAGAGTTGCAACAACCTTAAATGGGTTCCTAAAAAAGTATGCTGAAGGTAGTTTTAGGATTATAGTTACCATTCAATTTCTCTTTGTCCTTCAGGCAGGAAATCTGCTTGCATACTAAATTAGAAAGAATCATGATCACTAGCTTAAGATGCAACTTGGTGAACCCTAACCTCTACCCCAGTTCCTGCCTTGAAACAGACACCAATACAACATTCAAAAGTGACAATCAAGACTGAGAAACTCATCACATGGAGAGACAGCTCAGCAGTTAAGAACACTGGCTACTCTTACTGAGGACCTGGGTTTGGTTCCTAGCACCCGCATGGTAGTTAACAACCGTCTGTGACTTAAATCTTCAGGCCCAGGAGACTTGACACCCTCTTCTGGCCTCCTCAGGCATTGCATAAATGTGATACAGTTATATGCATGCAGGCAAAACACGCATACACATTAAATTTCTTTTTTGGTCTTTTTTGAGACAGGATCTTCCTGTAGCCTCAAGCTGGCCTGGAACTTGCTATGTAGATGAGGCTGGCCTTGAACTCACAGAAATCTGTCTGCCTCTGCTTTTGCCTGCTGAGTGCTGGGATTAAAGGCATGTACCACCATGCTTTTTGTGGGCAACACATTAAATTTTTTTAAAAAGGTTTTGCATTTGAAGTAGGGTAAAACCCTGGCCTATGGGAATTTGATCATGCCAACTTTGAACATGGGGAACAAGGACAGTGACAGACCGCTCTGCGGGGCTCTGTGGGCCTTGCCCTCCTGGGCTGTGCCTGGTGGCTTATCGCCCACATCCCTCTCGCTGGACTCCTCGCTGACTGTAGAGTCGGCATCTGATGGGGAGACTCTGCAGACAGAAAAACAGAGTGCAAACATCAGAGAAGCAAGAAAGGACAGGAAGGTTTTAAAAGGTCACATCATTGGGAAGACTTCCAGGAAAAACTGGTACAAATGAAATAACCCAAAATTCAAGGATCACAGAATCACCCTGTCCTAAGGACAGACTGTCAGATGAGTGGGATGCATTCCAACAAATGCCAGAAAAATAAGTGCTGGAGGGGAACAGGTTCCCACAATTATTGTGGCCCAAGGCCCAGTCCCTGGCCCTGGGTCACTTCTGGTCAGGCAGTCTGGATCAAACACAAGTTGGATCAAAAAGAATCTGGAGTTCTAGTGATAGAGTACTTGTTCACTTGTTCAGCATTCAAAAAGGCCCTGAGTTCAATACCCACTATCACAAGAAAGAAAAAAAAATAAAATAACAAAAAAAAAGTGGGACTGTGAGATGACTCAACAGTTAAAGGTGCTTGCTACCAAGCCTGACCTGAGTTTCATCCTCTGAACCACATGGCAGGAGAAAAGAACCAACTCCCTTAAGTTATCCTCTGACTTCCATACATATGCCATTGCACCCCCCCCAATAAATAAATGTAATTAAAAAAAATTTTGTAATGGGCCAGCAATGGCTCAGCAGGTAAAGATGTTTGCTATCAAGGCTGATGGACTGAGTTTGAACCCCAGGTAACCACATGGTAGGAGAGAACTGACTCTCAAATGTTATTCTCTGACTTCCACATGAGCACACAACACAGGCGCATGTGTGCGCTCACACACACACACACACACACACTGTAAATGTAATTTTAAAAATAAGAATCTGGCTGGGCATGGTGGCACACGCCTGTAGTCCAGAACTTGGGAGGCAGAGGCAAGTGAATCTCTGTGAGTTCAAGGCCAGCCTGGTCTACATAGTGAGTTCCAGGACAGCTTGAGCCACAGGGAGACCCTGTCTCAAAAAGACCAAAAGACAAAAATAAACAAATAAGAATCTGGCTGGGCATGGTGGTCTATACCTTTAATCCCAGCACTTGATAGGCAGAGGCAGGCAATCTCCAGGAGTTCAAGGCCAGCCTGAGTTCCAGGCCAGTCAGGACTGCATAGTAAGACCCTGTCTCAAAAAAAGAAAGAAAGAAAGAAAAAAAAAAAAAGATTCTGAGGTTCTGGCCTCGTCTAGGATCAACTGAGTTTTGAGAACCCCAGGAGGCCAGGGTAGCTCTGAGACCACCCCAAATAACCATCCAAACCTTTGGATGACACCTTCCACTTACAATAACAAGGCAATGCCCCCTAATGAGATTTGATCTTGTACACAAATATCAAGGGTATCATAGCAGCTGCTGTACCAGGTTAGGGAACACCCTTAGGTACTCTGTCTCCTTGAAACCCCAGCTTCTACAGCAACATGAAACACCAAGACACTTTGGTACCCTTGAAAGATGCTCAGATGTGACAGTCATCCCTCAGTACTGTGGGTCGTGGATGCTCAAGTCCTTTACATGAAAGGCCACAGTATTTGCATTTAACCTAGGCGCACTCTCTCCTAATCAACTGTAAGTTATTTATAACACTTCATACAATGTAAATGCCATGTAAATAGTTGCCATAAATTGTTTAGAGAGACGGCTCAGTGGTTAAGAACACTGGTTGTTCTTGTAGAAGACCCAGATTCGAATCCCAGCACCCACATGGCAGCTAACAACTATCTGTAACTCCAGTCCCAGGGGATCTGACAGCCTCTTCTGACCTCCACAGGGATTGCACGACACAGGTGCACTTACCTACATGCAGGCAATACATGAATACACATAAAATAAAAAATAAATAAATAAAATTTAAAAAAATAATGGCAAGAAAGTTCTGTTCATACTTAGTACAGACACAATTTTCTCCTGAGAATTTCTGATCCACAGTTGGTTTAATCTATGGATGTGGAACCTAAAAGCAGAGTGCAGGATCACTGTATCTACCAAGATGATCATGGTGATGATGGGACCAAATGCATAGCATGAGGCTACTAGAGAAGAAAAAAATCCCTGCAAAATTTCACCAGTGCACTAAAATCATTTTTTTGCAGATTTGACTTCTAAGCCTGAAAAATAAACAAAGAACATCTCTCTACATAATTCATAAAGATCACACTCTAACATCCATTAAATTCTTCTAAAAATTTTTTATTTCTTTTTATTTTATGTGTATGAGTGTTTTACCTGCATGTATGTAAGTTCATCACGTGTTTGCAGTGCCCAAGAAAACCAGAAGAGGGCACTGGATTCCCTGGAACTGGAGTTATGGATGATTGTTAGCTGCCATGTGGGTGCTGGGAACCGAACCTGGGTCCTCTGCAAGAGCAGCCAGTGCTCTTAACTGCTGAGCCATCTCTCCAGCCTAGGTTCCATTAAATTCTTAAAACTAGGCCAGATCACTGAGGTAGATTTCTCTGATGAGGCAGAAGTGATGCCATCAGTTTGAATGTTGAATGATACTATGGACAGGGGCTTCTTTGCTCTTGGCAGCCAATCAGGGGTCAGAGTTCTGAAGCTCAAGCAGAGGCTGATAATCTGAGGCTTCTGTGTCAAAGCTATGAATTACAGTCAAGTCACAAAGCTTGATCCTGAGCTCTGTCTTCAACATAGTTGCAGCCCTTCTTCTCACAGGAGCAGAGAGCAACTGCCATTTTTCCTGGCAGTTTGGAAAATGAACACCCAAGTCTCTGTGCACTGTACTTTGATATGAGGAATTGGAAATGGATTGGGGAAGGAGTAGTGGGCATAGAGGAGGTGGGCCTCCTGCACTGTGCTGACAAAGGTCACAGCTGGGCAGCTGGAGGAAAACAAAGCAAAGGAGGTCGTGATGAAGGTCACCTGCAGACAGACAATGAGACCGTAGCCAGCCACCAGCACAAGGAGTAGGAGCCAAGAGGCCCACGCTAGCTGGAGGTGTGCAGCGGCGGGCCATGTTCTTTTAAAAAAACATTTTTTTAAACCTATTTATTTGGAGAAGAGAACATGTCTGCCATGGCACACATGTGGAGGTCAGAGGACAACTTGCAGAAGTTGGTTCTCTCCTTTCACCATGTGGGTTCCAGGGGATCGTACTCAGGCCATCACACTTGGCAGAAATCACCTGTACCCACTGAGCTATCTCACTAGTCCCTGGCCATGAACTTTTTATACATTACTTCTCCTATCACCTCCACAAAGCCTAGCACACTCATATCAGAACACACAGTCAAGCTGGTTGGTCTCTAATCAAGTCTAGAGGCACTGCCAACCAAGCACAAATAAATATTTTAGGGGAAGGAATCACACAGCCAGCTCTGGTAGCCAGCAGAGTCCTAGGAGAGAGACCATTACTAACCTTCCTCTGTGGCGGACATTCTTGGAAGGAATCTTTGACTTGGGACTTGGCACATCTCCATTTTCAGATGGGGTGGTGTGGTCCTTCACAGGTCCTGGCAGTGGTGCTGGCTCATGAATAATCAGTATGTCGTCCTTATTGTGCTGGCCAAGGTGCTGCTTAGCAAAATCGAAGCCCTTCACACTGGGGATCTGCAGCTAGAACACACACAGGCATGCACACAAACAAGGTAGTTAACATGAAATATGAGGATGGAGACAAGACACTAGGAGGACTTGGACAGGGGAGCAAAACCTCTGACCCAAAACTGCAAGCAGAGCCACCAACCCAATCCAACAAACATCTCTGCAACAGATGGTGCCAGGTTCTGTTTACACTCAGAATTCGTCACCAATGCTTATGAAAGATTAAACAGGAATACAAGGATTAAATAGCAAGACCACAACACAAAAGCCATTCCAACAGGGCACCTGCTCCATTGTCACGGTGGTGAGACCTGTGGTGAAGTGAGACATTTTTTACTGGGAAAGGGGCACTTCATCCAGGCCTTTGGGGGAGACAGGCAAGGCTTGGAAACTGAAAAAATGATTCAAAGACCATGCTGTAGATGATATCATGTCAGGAAACAGAGAAGACTTGAGAGATTTCATTAGCTGTACTGACAGGGGCAGAATGCAATAGGGTAGATGGTGAGACAGAGGATAGCCTGGACGCTGACCACTGCAAATGGCAGCTTCTATAGTCAGCCTCTGGGTACTCTGAAAGCCTCTGTTTCTAAACAGGCAGATTTCTAAAATCTAAGCAGATAGAGCACCAGGGTCCAGTGATAACATGTCTATGACATCAGGAAGGCCTGAGCCCAGGTCCCAGCAAAGAAAGGGGGAAGAATGGCCAGGTCTGAGGGAAGGAATAGGAAGACAAACAAACAAGAGAGACCAAGGTAGAGCAGATGCCAGAAACAACCTGGAAGCCTGAGGTGTGCCACCCCGATGGCAGAGGTGACATTAAGAGTCTTGAAGGAGTGACGCCTCCAGGAGATGAAAGAATAGGCTTCCCTTTCAACATGCTTAGTTTGGGAAGACAGAAAAAGCCTCAAAGGAAAGCAGTTTGGGGCAGCTGGAGACAGAGGACAATAGCTTAGGAGACATTTGGCTGAGAGGTGATGTTGACAGTGACCTATCCAGTGATATGCAGGGGCATTGATATTTTCCAAGATGAATACAGATTCTATAGATAAAACATTAGAGAACATCTGACAGGCTGGGGCTGAGGAGAAGAAAAGGAATCAGGGAAAATAAGGAAACTTCAAAGAAACAGACTGATCTGGAAAAGTTCAGGGTATTAGAAGCCAAAGTAATGGAATTTTTAGCAAGGAGAAAGGGTTCTTCAGAAATGGTTGGCACTCATTGGTGGGTATAGGTGTCCTCCTGGGGGACACACAGTGCACCCAACACCACACCCAAAACCAGACACACACACACACACCTCCTCCACAAGCTGCACCTCTTCTGGGCTTCATCTTCTGAGCCTATGGTGAGGGAGGAAGGATGTTCAAGGTACTAAGATGCATTAACACCATGCCTGATGACATCATTTTAATGACAATAGAAGGGACAAGGATAGGTGTTGACAGTTTCCTTACATCCAGCCTGCAAGGTGTAGGGAAATGAACAGCACATAAAAAATTGTTCCTGGGGTCTCCTCTTTGGAACTCTACTGTGAACCAAAGCCTCCAGGTTACACAGTTCTATTAACTGAAAGACACTTAAGACAATCCACTGTATATAGAATCAAAAGATGTTGTCATATTCTCATTCTGCCCCAAAAGTAATGTCCATGGCTTAGGTTTGTGACTTAGAAATTCTTTAACACTAAATAAACATCCAGGATGGAAGACAGAGGGAAAGCAGTCTGTAATAATGGTTTACACCAGCAGATGGAGACCAAAGTTAATGTAAAGATCATTTACAGAGTTGGTTGGAAACAAAAGGTGAAGCCAGGCATACTGCATTCTCTAATGGTAAGAAGGTCCCGTTAAAAGGGCAGGCTCCATGCTACCCTAGAATCAGCAACACTGCTTAGAAAGTGACAGACCAAGCCCGCCTCTCCTCAGCTGCTCCACTTGGACTCCTAGGTGTGGATAAACATTTCCTAAGAGCAGAGGCTGCCTTTGTCAGAGATAAACTTGCAAGTGCCCAGCCTGGGCTCCCCTCTCCCACACCCCTCTAACAGTCCTGTTAAAGAAGCCCCCTCTTATGGGGGCTTCATAAGATAGCTTCTTGGGGTGTTCTGTGTAGAGAACAGAAATCTCTGAAACATCAAATAAAGATTAAAAGTGTCCAGCAGACCCCTTTCATCAAGGCACAAGAAACCCAGGCATGGCTTCCTCATTCCCTATCTTACATGTATTCTGCGCATGTATACGTGCGTTTGTGTGCACACATTCATATGTGTGTATGTGTGTGGAGGTCTGAGGCCAACCTCAGGGGCTATCCACCTTGTTTTTTAAAACAGGGTCTCTCACTGGGACACCCAGGGTCTCAGATTCAGCCAGACTAGCTGGCCAGCAAGCCCTAAAGATCCATCATTGCCCACCTCCCCAGTGCTGGGATTACAAGTGCGCACCACATCTGGTTTTTATGTGTCTCCGTGTTTATGATGGCAGGCACTGTACCACTGAGCTATCTCCCCGCCCCTACATTCATTTCTTTTTTTGTTTGGATTTTTTGTTTGTCTGCTTTGTTGTTGTCTGGTTTGAGACAGCCCTGTAGTCCCAGTTGGTCTAGAACTCACTACGTAAACCATCTGCCTCCCATGTACGGGACTGGCATGTGCCACCACACCAAGCTCCGTTTTTTTGTGTTTTTTTTTTTTAAATGGGGGTGGGGGTGCCTATGGAGGCAAAGGGATGTCAGACTCCTCTGGAGCTGAAGTTACAGGTGGTTGTAAGCTCTTCACATGGGTGCTGGGAAATGAATTCCAGTCCTCTGAAAGAACAGCAAGTGCCCTTAAGGGCTGAGCCATCTCTCCAGCCTCACATGCTTTTCTTCACATCAGGATGCCATGAACTCGTTTTGCAGAGGAGGCAGCAAGCGCAGGGGTGTTTCTATCTAACATGACTTCTGCCGCCTCCAACAACACCTGCCTCGTTCAGGTACAGAAGAATCGGTGAGAACACCGTGAAGAGTGCAGCTGTGGGGCACAGGCTCTGCGCTTTACCTGTCCCGCTTAAGAAGGGGGTGTTCAGGATGCACTGGGCAGTGTGCTGGAAACACCAACGTGCCCTCAGGTGCTCCTTGGCCACAACAGAACCATAATCTGGGATCATCAGTGATCCCAGGCTCCGCAGACACTGTGTTCACTGAGTCCCGGCCTGGTCTCTTTCTTTGTTTTTGTATGGTTTTGAGTCAGGGTCCTGCTACATAGCCTAGGCTGATCCTGAACTCTCAATTCTCCTGCCTCATCCTCTAAATGCTATGATTAAAAATGTGCACCCCCACATTGGGCTGAGCCTGGGTCTTAATGCCATATTTTATACCAGAGGACAAAGGAATGAAAACTGCCATGTTTACTTCTAAAAGATCAAAATTCCAACTTCAAATCAAAGAAAAAAAACAGAGTCAAGAGAATACTGTATACTTCCTTGAACGTTTATTCTAACTGGCAGGAAACTTTTATTAACTTCTTTCAATTACTGGATACCACAGTCTGTGTTACGGTTACTTAATGCAAAGCTCTTGCTCAGTGTCCCCCACAAGCTCTCGCTGCTCACGTATCACCTGTCCCTGTGCTGTGTGTCTCTGTGTGTGTGTGTGTTTGTGTGTGTGTGTCTATGTTTGTGTCTGTGTATGAGTCTGTGTGTGTGTGTGTGTGTTTTTGTGTGTGTGTGTGTTTGTGTGTGTGTGTGTGTGTGTGTGTGTGTGTGTGTGTGTGTGTACCACATGAGGAGCCTGCAAAGGCCAGAAGAGGGTGTCAGATTCCTTGGAACTGGAGTTAAGGATGGTTGTGAGTAGCCATGAGGGTACTAGGAAACAAGCACAAGTCATCTGCAAGAGCAATGAAGAGTCTTAACCACTGAGCCATCTCTCCAACCCTCAGCTGCCTTCTTCTATGTTATATACAAGTAAAGGAAAAAGTAGGTGAGCCAGAAAATAACTCCCAAACTTAAAAAAGAAATATCTATCTTATATGCTTAGGATGGGATCTTCTTTATCCAACTTAGCTATACTGTTCTAATTTAGGAAATATGTAATTATATATATTATTTTCATCTTGAAATTATAAATCCACCAACATAATTCTCAAGCGCCCATCTGTCAAGCTTTTTTAAGATGGCTAGAAAATTGACAATTTGACACCAATTACTCCCAGATAATGAGAAAAATCCCCAAATGAACAATTTCCAATTTTATAGGTTTTTTTTTTTTCAACCTACACCTTTTTTTAGCTCCACAAACAGAGCCTATAAGTAGAAAAGTGACAGGAATGACCAACAGTCCTCTAACCACCACCACTACCATCACCTAACAAATTTTGCTAAACTCCTTGATGGTATATTTCCCAGAAAGAAAGCATATGTCTCTAAGAACTGGGTACTGACCACATCCACCCATTACAGGGTTTGCTTGAACCAAACTGACCCTCTAAGCAAAAGCCTCTGAAAAGACTGATATCTTTTCAGCACAAGCAGCTCTGCAGTGTCGTCCATACAGCCCACGTCCAAGCACTAACTGCCTCCTCTAAAAAATTTCAGAAAGAAACATGGCAAGAGGTGAGAAAATCCTTCACAAATGCCAAGCACTATGCAATGCAAATGAGATTGACAAAGGCATTCTCAACCCTGCTGGCTGATGAAATATCAAGCAGTTAATATAAACGGCAGAGTCTTCAGGACATCAGATATAACTATAGATGGAAATTTAGATAAAGTACTTTGTAAGGGGCAATGGCAACAAGATTAGGTTTTCTCTCATCAAAGAAACATACAAGTTCTACGCATGCCTTTGATCCCAGCACTCAGGAGGCAGAGGCAGGCAGATCTCTGTGAGTTCAAGGCCAGCCTGGTCTACATTGCGAGTGCCAGGCCAGCTGGAGCTACAGGGAGACCCTGTCTCAAAAGACTAAAAAAAAAAAAAGAAAGAAAGAAAGAAATATACAAGTCCTGCATCCTCATTAAAGCCCATCTCACAGGCTGGGG